TGTGTGTATTTGTTTTTATATTCGTTGATAAGGAACATAATAAACACAAGTTTGATATTGTTTCCACTTTACATTACCTAAATTTGATATAAAAACTCAAATTTGGAAGGTAAAAAAGACTTAGGAACATGAACAATAACAATAAAACATATACAGTATACGCAGTCATACTAAATATTAATTGCGTCTTAATTGAAGCGGGGTATGTCATTACGGCATGTTAAACTAATATTGAGTAATAAATTAGAACACTGTTACACAACCAGACAAAGTGAATATTATTTGGCTATTAATCTCGTCTTCTGATTAAAATTACTTCAGTCTGAGCCATTAACTGAGAGTTTGTTCATGCTTCAAAGTTTCGAAATTTAAATTTCCAGACGCATATTTATTTTCTCAACTAATCGGTTTTTCCTCGATTTGGAATGGGTATTAGGTAAAGATATATTTACCCACGGGCGTTTCTAATGAGCGATATTTGATATTGTTGGCTTCCTCCTTGTTAGTATTATAAGCAGAAGCAATATCAAGTTATGTATTCTGTCCATATGAGTTATTTTATTATGTTGTCTCAAGAACACACAGTGGGAGAGGCAAAACTGTCAAACAAAAAGCAGTTATTCAGAGAATTGGTTGGTCGGTTAAACGCGGGTATTTTACGTACTATTATTATTATTATACTTTATTCAATTACGATGAGCAAAAATGTTAGCGCCATAAATTTGTAACTTATTTTTCCCACAAACAGTTAGCTTATATAAAATTACCTATATATCAAACGTCGGCATATACTAATTTAGAAAAATTTTGTTCAAAGTAAATGGTTATTTTAATAGTCGGCTTAAAATTTTTTCGCTATTCGTTATACAAGTTTTAGTTATAAGTTTTCGTTAATCGGGTGCTAAACATATGTGACTAAATTGTTTCCATTAAAAGCTTCGTTAAAAGCTATCTTGTTAAATGGGACATTTGTTAAAGCGAACTTTACCATGTAATATGTTCCAAGAGTTATTATTAACATTTTAGAAATTTTTAACATTTAAAATTCGAATTTCTCTTGCAGATTATGCACTTATACTCACGAAAAAAAGGGCAACACAAAGTACTACTCATTATTCCAAGCGAACCACTCCGAAAGTCACCTTTTTACTCTTTTAAATCTATAACAGTTTCAAAGGTACAGCGATTATTCTCTATTACTGGGCACAGAGTCATGCTGGGACTTCGATACAGTACATACGTATATATGTAAATAATAATAACACCTGGAAAATTAAAAGTACAGTAGTTGCGTAGTTCTCATGAGTAAGCCTCTTAGCACAGGCCTTGTAGAGGACTATTTCTTGTAATACTAATACAGCAAGATTGATGCAATCATTATCAATAATGTAACTGCGCCGTATTAACCATATTCCATGCACAATTATGAAATGATGTCAATCAATATTTATTTAAATGGATACAAAGTTCTCCAACTGACTAATTTGAATCAAACTTTTGAAACCAAAAACACCTCCCAATCAGCCCATTCAAAGTTATCTGACGAAGATCTTATTGGAAATTGGTATGCTTTCTGTTTTGCATAAGGTTTACCATGCCCATTATCACGACCAAAAAATAAATCAATACCATTTCCAAAATCAGGAAGGCAATTATTCGCATCAAAAATGGCGTGTGGACTATCAATTACAAAACTTACTGTATGTTTATCCATGTTTTTGCCTAATGCAAATATAAAGCTTTCTTTGGTTTCAGTATATTTACCACTTCGGAAACCCCATGACAATGGGTTGTATCCACCAAGTATTTCTTCAGTACCCAACACTTTCCCAACTGAAACTGTGGGTCCTTTGCCATTACACAGTTGTCTAAATTTGCTTGTTAAAATACCATCTCTACTGCATCTGTAAAGTAGTGTAAGTTTGTAAATATCATCTTTGTTTATAGATGTTGCTTGCTTCTCTTGAAGCCGCCTTGTTGATTCTACAATCTTTGATGAGATCCACTCTGCTTGTTCTTTGCTGATGATAACTGAATCAACGTGGTGTCTTTGTCTTATTCTTGGTGGTAATATCTGAGTGTTTGGTTTATAATCTTTGTTAGCATAGTAAGTCAGTATATCATGACGTAGCTTTTTTGGTAACAATTCATCATATGGGATAACTTTGTCGTAGGAGATACCCAAAAATCTTATGTAAGGAAGACAATCTGCAACGATATCTTTAATTGCTTTAGTGTCATCAGATGACCAATTGTCAGGATCAGTTCCAAGTTCCAGTTCAGGCACCTGTTTAGTGGCCCATTGTATGACTGACATCCAAACCGCATCTTCATCCATGTCTAGCTCATCATTTTTGAGAAAAGTGATCAAAGTTTCCTTTGGCAAAGTTGCAAATTCGTTCGATTTAAAGATAACATCTGGGTGGGAAACTATAGTTCGATTACAGTAAGCCAGAAGTCTGTTCAGAGAGACCGTGGATGCCGCATACTTGTGAACTGAAAGAATATTCTGTTTAATCCATTCGTTTTCTTTATCAATCAAATACGTTCGACTGCAGCGAGGAGATCAACTAGTTCAAACTTGCTAGCACCATCCAAAAGGCTGAACCAACCCAAGTTCTTGCATAAATCATAGGACATTCGCCCAGTATATATATATCTATAAGTAATCGTCGAGCATGCAATATTAAATTTGACAAGTTACGATTATACACTCGCTCAATCATTTTTAAGAATTTTACCTGAGCAACATTTCGAAAACGTCAGGAGACACATCTTCAAAGGATATGACAGTCTTTTGAATCGCATCGGACGTCTCTTTATTCTCAGTCAAGCTATTTTCGATGAATTTGCTTCTTGTACATAATACCACTGTATGAGCGAGAAAAATTTTGCTATTTGGCTCTTTTCCGACATGGATTGAAATATCTGTATATCTGCCACTGTCATACAGTTTCTCGTAATCAGACGAAAGGTTCGAGGATAAGTCAATAAAGCTATTCATTTCTTACGTAGTTTCGTCAGGTTAGGTTGTGATAAAGACTTTAATTACTAAGCGTCGATTATGTTTAAACCCCGTGTACCTATGTAACATGATCAAGATCAGATAATACGATAACGAAATTCTAAAATAATTCAGTTCTCCATCTTTTGCTTTCTTTGTGACCAAGCTGTAACCAACCAGAGCGGTATGGATATTGTCGACTTTTGAGAACCATGGCATTTGAATGTAACTTAGTTTATGCGTACCGTATGGCATTGGCTTCTAGTTTTGTGACGGTGTCGGCGAGCCTGGTATATTATCATTAACTGTGAACGTTGACAATGCAGACCAGTCGGAGGTTTTCTAGTACGTAGACATCAAAATGGGTTCGCTTGCAAAGTTTAGGAATTTATATGCGTTGTAAGCGCTATTCTGGTTTAATTTTCGTTCGAACGTTGAGCAGTTGAGTCGAGGTGTTATTTATTATAGAAAGGAAATAGTTTTCCCCAGGGAGGGTTAAGGTATGTAGCGTGAAAGGTGAGGTGAGTGTAATAATAGAAGCTGTTATTAATGATTAGGACTTTGGCTTACCGAATAAAACAAATAAAAGTTTTTGACAAAACATTTAAATAATAGAGCATAGTATGGAGATATCGGATTGATTTTCTACGTAATTTATTATGCTGATATAATTTTAGGAAAATGCACAGGTATTGAGCTGATGGTTTATTGTCATTTCTAGAAAGTATGAAGATATTATTCGATTGAACGTCAAAAAGACCTACAAGATAATTCGATGGACACTCTGTTATCTAGCAAAATAATTATACCTTATTTACGTTTTTGGGAAACCGTAATAGGATTATAGATCAAAAGACGTCAAGAGTTGGTAACACATTTGTATGATTGTACATTTTAAATCACAGTCCTTTTAGGAAATCTTTGTAAAATATTTACAAAAGACACTATTTGTATGTGATATTAGTAGAAAAATATACTGTAACTAAAAAGTTTGAATGGAATTAAATAGTCTATTTAATGTAGATTTCTTAGAAAGACTGGAAAGAGTATCGTTTTTGGATAAGATATCCCGTTTATTGTGTTTCGGAAAATGAAACTAAGAGTTGATAATAAGTTACCGTGGCGACATACTTATTACTCAATAAAAAGGTGTGCGCATATATGCTGTTGGAAACATATATAGTGCGGGCGTAAGAATATAGTATTGAAAATAAAATAACTATGGGCTCCATCGGGCAAGCTTGTTCAGATACTAAAGACAGCTAGCTAGCAAACATTCTCGATTTTTGTACACGCCTACTGTATTACATGCGAGTACTAAAATCAGCTAAGTTAGCTGGCTGTGTGGCGACCAATTATAGTAAAGCTCATAGCACAACAACTACCAGGGAAAATATACCAAGTATCATTTATCCGTAAACGTATTAGTAAATTGTTGATTAGTCATCGACATTAAATTCCCATTACGTATGGCAACGGGCAGCTGCGCCAAATTTTACGCCAATGTCATTCATGTTTCAACAGAAATTGAGCTAAATTATGTCGAATAAGACATAATTCGTAGCGGTATTGAAAACATATGTCGAGTTAATAGTGTATTCATAATTAGTGTACTTCATAAGTGTAGCAAATCTGTCGGTGAATACATTGTAATACTCAAAGGCAGTTATAATGACGTGTTTGTTTCTGACTACAAATAGACTCTTGCTTGGAGTAGTGGTTGCATTGTGCAAAAATGATATGTACTGCTAAGATATTAAACATGTTACATAGATTAACGTGATTGGTAAGGTGCACCGATTCATGATAAAATCCTTCGATCTGCTACATCCAACCAAAAACTTTCTCATAGCCGCCGTCGTTATAATAATCGTAATAACCATCATTATAATATTCGTCATTATTACATCTAACTACAAATACCGCATATAACACTCACTATACTACACCCACTACGAATCACAACAACCACAACAACCCATCGTCATCCCAAAATATGAATGACTTTAATATTAAAGAAATCACTTTCAATAAAGATCCAACCATGGAGTCAAAGCACAAAGCTTGGCTCTCAGAACCACCCGCCGGAGTCATTTTAGGAATGACTATCGAGGAGCTTCTAGCTCCAAGTAAGCGGAAGAAGTCAAGACTGACGCCTCCACGCCCCCAACAGTCATACATTCTTTTCAGAAAAAATTATGGAGCGCTGCACAGCTCGATGGATTTTAAAACAATTAGTTCTATTTCAAAAAATGAGTGGAAGAGCGCAGCTCCTGTTGTCAGGGAGTTTTTTAATATGTTGTCGGAAATAGCAAAAAGGCGTCATCATATTAAATATCCAACATATAAATACAAACCCCAAAAAGGAAGAAGACAAAAAATTCCCGTCGAGGCTGTTGTAAAGTCTAATCCAAATAAAGCGGCCGAGTTTAACCCGGGACTGTCAACTTCCATTACAGTTGATAATATATACGATAGTCTCTCTACATTCGCCGTAAATAATCAACCGGTGGAAAATTTTCGTAATGACACTATTACAATGACGACATCTACGGAGGTCGATACTTTTACCTCTCCAGAAGATGACGATGGGTTGTCGTTTTTCAACTTTGATTTATACATGACGGACGGGTAAAATATAACCGGATTATTATTCGAAGCATTTTCTTATAACCTATTGTTTGTAGGGAAATCTTGTTACCCTACAGTGGAACATTTCAAGAAATGGTAGTTGTATAGCTTTGTTCACTATTGTTACTAACACTTCCTGAAATATTCTATTATAGGATGACAAGATTTCATCTAGAACTATAGATTATGTGAACAGCTTCGAAAATATCCCTTTATATAAAAATAGGTTTTTTATTTGGTTTATTATTATTATCATTACATAGTTTTTTTATTCTGACAATTTTGGTGTTTATTATATCAACGCGTGTATGAAATTTTAATAAAGACGTATAATTGTTTGATACACTATCTCTGCATTTGCAAAAATAAAACGAGTGTTTGTTTTTTTAATTACTTAATTAGAAAGAGAAAACACCCGATCAAAGCACAATATGATTGATTACATTACGAAATATCTGAGCATAATGTATGTGGAATGATAGACCTTTACGTTATCTGAACACTTATCGTATTCCCAATTGAGTGTATTTATTTATCGACAGCGTGTATTTGGTCCAGTATTATACACAAGTGCGATGGATGGCGACATCGGATATATTGTGAGAATACAAGAAAATGTATAAATTTACACAAATTTCACCCTTCATTAAGCTCATATGTAATAATCAAAAGACGACATTAGTTTACTGAATGACAATTATATACTGGTTAATAATTTGTTGAAACAGTTTTTTTCGAATCGTAGCACTGATTTATCAATATTGAGTTGAGACCGAATAAAATCGAGTCAGAAAGCTGTATTACAAATTTCTACATAAAAGATAGAAATTTCATCGCTAAAGGTCGTTGCGATTGCCATCGTTGTCGATGTGTTGTTGCGATGTAGTGGTATAATTTAAATGTTGAGTAATATTTACTTTAATACACAATTTAAATATTTGTTACTAATACTAGATTTATGCCTATCGACTTTCCACAAAATTTTGATTACTCTTTATTTAATTAACATGTTAGCCTTCTGCTTATTATTATTATTGTACGTATTGTGTTGTTAATTGCAGTATATCATATCATTATATGTATGTGACTGTAATTTCTGTATATTATAGATTCTCTTTATACAATTTTTGCAAATCAATATGTCATACATGTACTAATATCATTCATTGTTTTATTATTCATGAAAATATCAATTTTTTACTCAACTAAAGATACAATCGTAATGAATTTTGCTTTATATATATATTGACGTTACATTAATATTAATACAATGAACGATAATACTCATAATTCGTTTGTGTGTCTCCGCGTGTTACTCATTTAGAGTCTTTTGGCTTTTATTGCATGGTCTTAGACACAAATTTAGCAATTTTTACTCGCACACTTAGTTGGCTTTGATCATTATGTGTTACGCACATTTCAAATGCTCCGCGCTATATTCACCCTTTGTACATGTAAACAAGTTATTTTCTTGCAATAATATGTAGCGTTTCTATTCGTAATGTTTCCTGTTTGTACTTTTCTTCCTTAACCATAACTTACCATTACAAAAAAGTGTCAAAACCTCAATTATATGCTGTTACTTTTCTTCAACTGATGACTTAGTTTAGCACAGGGCTAGCTAACGCTTACTATATTTGTCCGTCGCACCAATAGGTACTTTTATTGATTGTTGTACAGTCAACTTCCGTTAATTCGGACACGAATTAACGTGGTTGGACGAATAATCAATTTAGGGTCGCACAAAAGAGGTAAACAGTTTTTTATTGAAAATAATTTTCGATGGAAGACTGTTTATACCGTAACCTACGATAACATAAAACTTGACTAATGAGTCGACGAACGACTAATAAATCGTCTACACGAATATTAATGTTATTACTATCCTGTTGTTCAAGAAATAATAAAGACTTTTTTAATGCATCTTTCCCTTCTTTCAATGAAATTTTTATGTTTTCTACATCGGAATTATCTTTCGTTTCGAGTTCGTTATTATGATTTAGAACCTCCTGAATAATATCTTCGTCATTTAACGTCCCGACGGAACTCTCCATATTGTCGACAAGAATGAATTCTACATCGAATATAATGTTAACATGGTATTTATAATCCACCAAACTCGTTTGTAATTTGAACAGTTGGATTTTATTAAGATTCCGAATTAAAGGAAGTGAATTTGAATAAGGGTCCGAATTAACGTTGGATAATCTTACCGTATTAGGAATTCTAGTTTACCATATACAGGAGTGATAGTCAATGGCCGAATTAAAGATGTCTTTTACAATACTTAATTTATACAGCTGATCCGTGACAGCTGAATTATCGTAATATCATAAGTATCGGACGAATAAAAGGAAGGAATCAGATATAAAAAAAAGAGTCCGGCGTTAAACGTCCGAATTATCGAAAATTCGAATTAAAATTAAAGGAAGTTGACTGTATTTCCAGTGCATTCGGCAACAATACGTCGCACAGATTTACGATTGGGAGATTTTCGTACTACCAACGGAAACCACGTCATCGTCGTGACAAAGTTTTAATTGTAATTTTCGTTGTGAATGAATTGTTTCATTAAAATTTGTTATAAGGCTTATCTTCATTAAATGGACCTTTGTCAAAGTGAACTTACTGTACATTATGCTCTGCTCTAATAGTTATAATTATTGACATTTTGGAAATCTTAAAATTAAATTCCAAACTTCTGCAGATTATGCCCTGCTCCTATGCTCACAGCACTGCTGTAACTCAGTGATTTCCAATCCAACAATCGCTTTTCACTACAATAAAATTTATAACCATTTGTTTCAAAGTTACAACGACTTACGCTCGATTACCGGGCACAACTTTTGTGTTGGACTATAATACAGTACATAAGTACATCACCGATAATTAAAAGTACAGTAAGTGCGTAGTTCTCACAATGGATAGTCCTCTCAATACAGATCTTATAATGACTATTCAAGAAGAGGTGGTTTTTTGTAATACAAACAAGCTTGATGTCAATTAGTATTAGGAATGTTATCATAAAAATCATCATTATTATTATTGACAAGTTAACTGCGGGCAACATACTAATACCATGAATAATGGCGCCATATTACCATATTCCATTCCATAATTACGAAATTTATTGAACCACTCTTTATTTGAAATGGATACAACAGTTTCTCCCCCAACTGTCATTTGAAATCAAACCTTTGAAACCAAAAACACCTCCCAATCAGCCCATTCAAAATTAATTAATGAAGTAGAAGATCTTATTGGACGTTGGTATGTATGCTGACTTGTATAAGGTCTTCCCCCATTCATACCAAAACGTAAATCATGGCCACCCCCAAATATAGGAAAATATGCACTATTATCATAAATAGCATACTGACTATATATATAGTCACCAACAAAACTTACTATACTATTATCTATGTTCTTATCTAATGCAAATATAAAACTCTCTTTAGTTTCAAGATAACCATTTCGGGAACCCCATGCAAATGGGTTATATCCACCAAGTATTTCTTTAGTATTCAACACTTTCCCAACTGCAACTGTGGGTCCTTTGTCATTACACAATTCTCTAAATTTTGCTGTTGAATTACCATCTCTACTGCATCTGTAAAGTAGTGTAAGTTTGTAAACATCATCTTTGTTTATAGATGTTTTTTGATTCTCTTGAAGCCGCCTTGTTGATTCTACAATCTTTGATGAGATCCATTCTGCTTGCTTGTTGTCAATGATAACTGAATCAATATCATATTCTTGTCCCGTTTTTGGTGATGATAATAAGTATGATTGCCCTGCTCTTGGTGGTAGCAATTGAGTCTTTGGTCTATACCCTTTGTCAGTATGATAATTCAATATGTCATGACGCAGTTTTTTTGGTAGTAAATCCTCATACAGAATAACCCTTTTAAGGGAGACACTGACAAATCTTATGTGAGGTATAAAATCTACTACAATATCTTTGATTACATTACTGGCATCAGATGACCAATCGTCTGGGTCATTTACAAGTTCTAGTTCAGGCACTTGTTTAATGGCCCACTGTATGACTGATATCAAAATATCATCTTCATCCATGTGCAGCTCATCACTCTTGAGAAGAGTGATCAAAGTTTCCTTTGGTAAGGTCGCAAGGTCATTCGATTTGAAGATAATCTCGGGGTTGGAAACCATGATTCGATTACAGTAGGCCTGAAGTCTGTTCAGAGAGACTGTGGATACCGCAAACTTGTGAATTGCGAGAATATTCTGTTGAATCCATTCATTTTTTTGATCAAGCAAATACGTTTCGATTGCAGCGAGAAGATCAACTAGTTCAAACTTGCTAGCTCCGTCTAAAAGACTAAGCCAACCTACATTCTTGCATGAGTTGCAGAGTATGTGCCCGGTGTAAATATATCTACGATGAATCGTTAAAAATGCAATGAGTATTTATATTATCAGCATTGGCATCGGTATGCTGACATTTTTATAAAATTTACCTGAGCAGTATTTCGAGACACATCTTCAAAAGATATGACAGTCTTTTGGATCGCATCGGACGTCTCTTTATTCTCAGTCAAGCGATTTTCGATGAATTTGCTTCTTGTGCATAATACCACCGTATGAGCGAGAAAAATTTTGTTATTTGGCTCATTTCCAACATGGATTGAAATGTCTGTATATCTGCCACTTTCATACAGTTTCTCATAATCAGATGTAAGATTCGAGGATAAGTCAATAATACCATCCATTTTGTTAGCAGAGTTCCAAATTTTGGAAAGACTGTATAATATATTATCACTATCATCCTTTGTGTACCCGTGTAACATGATTAAGGCTTATCTGATCAGATAATAACGTACATCTGTAATCAAATTGTAACCACATGGCACACGGTATTTAAATGCAACTTAGTTCATACGCACAGTAATGGCATTGGCTTCTAGTTTTGGAAGTTAAATGGAGTACTCATCTATGTTGCAGACAGCCGGAGGTTTCTGGTACATAGACATCGAAATTGGTTCACTTGCAAAATCTATTTTGTATTAGCATTTAAGCGATATTTCCGTTCGAACTTTGAGCAGTTTACGATAGTTGAGTTGAGAGATAGTTGTCCCAGTGTTTATGGCGTGGAGGATGTGCGTAATGAAAGAGCCTGTTAATAACGGTGCAGACTTGAGTCTACCGGGCAAAAAAAAAATCTTTTCTGACAAAAACATTTACAAGAGTAATTGAGCATGATGGAGATATTTGATTAATTTCTAGTTTGTTTCTGGCTACAAGTAGACTCTTGGAATGGCGTGTCACTCGTTATTAACACCCTGTCAATGGTAAGATCGTATTTGGATCTACCATAAAATTGAAAATACTGCTTCGGACTTGCAGTAAATTTTCCCTGAGTACAACGTCGACTATTTTTCGATTTGGTCTTGTAAGCTATTCATGTTTTTGGTGATTGTTAGTAGACAATCTTATCATTACGCACGCAAATAAACTCTGAGGAGCAGATGATTTGTGTAAATGGAGATCCGTACATTTCAGAGTGGTGCCACAGGCTATTAATAACATATTGATCGTCAATAATTTATTACTTCGAGACGTAGAGGACTAACGTAGATCCATAAATATAACGTCGCAATTACAGGCGTATGAGCTTTTATTCTGGAATTTATTACTTCGATTTAGAACGAAATCTAAAGAACCAATGTTATGGTTCGTTAATGACAAGCTTTGATGTATAAAACGCTGCCGTACGGCGGAGATTTGGGTAAGAAAAACATTATCAAAGCTTTGGCTCAATAAACCAAACATCCAGACCAACGATTAACAATCGATCAGACTGTATTTCTTACTTCACGTATTAAAGTCCATTGAACTAAAAATTGCAACACGATTATTATTTAGCGGCACCGCAAAAAAATTAGGTAGCTTTTCTCAAAGTGAACAATCGATGAATCGTTACGCGCTGCGCAACGTCTGGGTATAACTTAGCGGATACTCATACAGCTATATTAAAATTACATATGTTCAATTCAACTTCGCTGAAGCCCTTCTCCTTATTTTGATTGCTAGCTCAATTTTCGCTGAAAATTTAATCTCGAGTTTATTTTTTGGACTCATATGGTACAATGTTACACAAAATAGTAAATAACGCGTCCGCTCGCTAAGCGAAGATTTTGCCAACAAAATCAATGAACTCAATGAAAAAATTATCTTCAAAGCGATAGAAAGTTTCTATAATGGAGAAAGAAAATCTAATAAAAGAACGATAGACGCGATCAAGTGTTGGATGGAATTGAGAAACAAAGAAATAAATGAGTATAACGTTGGATAGCTTATGTATGTGAGGCCAAAGAATAGGGAATAGTCATAGTCTCTCGAGGGCCTTGGATCCGACTATTCTCTCCCATGCAACCTCGCAATAGGTGGCTGCCGTACGGCAGAAGCATAGATAGTTAATAAAGTTATAATTCATTGCCGCAGATTGGCTACTTTGCATTTCTTTTACACAAGTGACGACGACAATTGTTCCAAGCAATAGCAAACATTGTTCCATAGTCATGCGCCTACTGCGCCTGTGAACTCGAGTTCACAGTAATAGAGTGATACAATATAACAATTGGAAACATTATTCCATAACGTGATATGCAAAGAAGCGTATAAAAGAGATTTTCCCCTTTGTCTTCATTTTCTTCTGTTTCTGACAAAGGCATGGAGGGTTCCCGATCTATTTGCCAAGTGCTGGACCCAACGCATTCAGTTGATTCAGCGCATATAAACAGGGCTGAGTTGGGCGGTGCAGATCGTGACTCTTCTTTATCATTATCATTCACTAAATCATACGAAAACATCTAGACATGGACGCAAGAGTTATGACTAAAGACGAGTTCATGTATAAACATGGTAAAGACTATGCAACCTACGAGGAAGCAAACAATAAATACCAGGAATACTGCAGAACACTTGGTAAGCAAGGTAAGCAACACACATTTGGAGGATAGAGGAGCAAACAGGGAGAAGAGTTTGAATACTGTTACTGGTTTGTGTACATAATGTGGGGAGGGTAGACAAGTAACCTTGTAATACTAACATGACGGCCGGCGTTGATATCCGTATGCCATTAACACTACCTTACCGCCACCAGACTTGAAGAGGAAAGGGGAAGACATTCCTGTTCTGATGAGTAAGTTATTAACTATTATGATTTTGGACAAGGGTAATGTAAAAGAAATTTTGCAGATTTGATGTTAATGGTCCCTAACTTGGTGACTTTTATATAGAGCGCCGCCACTTTGCAGTCGCCAATGCAGTAAATCCAGCAGCCAACTTTTATATTAAGCCTACTCGTTCACTTAATGGTCTGGGAACGGCTCTTTTCAATGGGAACTTCTGCCTACTGTATGGGCACCGTCAGAGTGGAAAAACGACCATTGCTTTTGAAGTTGAGGAATGGCTCTGTAAGCAACCCAATTTACCCGGAAACGTCAAAATTTTCCAAGTGTCTCTTGACGGTATTGATCTTGAGAATGGAGCTAATGGCTTCTGGATATCCATGATCCAACGGTTTAATTCTGTGGATCCTGAGCGGTTTCCCGATGCTAATACATCAACGTCAAGCGGCTTTCAAAAGTTATTTAACAAAAAGTTATATCCTGACCCTTCTATTCTGATTATCGATGAAGCTTCAAATTTATTCCAAATCAATCGTTTGAACGACACCGATTACATCAACATCATCAACGAGTTTATCGGAGCGCTGCGGAATATCAAGCAAAATCGTTCAACATATTCAGTGTATGCCATCGCACTCGTGGGCACAGAAACTGTCAGGGATATTCTGATCGCTCGCCCACTACCCAACAAAAAATCGATCATTTCGCCATTCACAGCCGAGGCAAGTTTCGAACCAGATCGTTTCACCCGACCGGAGATCGAGAACCTACTCACTCAGTACTCGGCAGAAACAAAAATCATACTCGATACTGCAGGCATAGCTGACTCTATTCATCAGCTGACCTTAGGGCATAAGGGCCTTACCGGCTGCATCGGCCACTATATTGAGCATGTAGTTTCGCGCAATAGATGTCGAGTGTCGCTCGAAGATTGGGACCGGCATGCCATCAATATGGCTTCATTTATAGCAAGGCAAGCAACATACGCTTCCATCTCCTCATGTCTTAAGGAGCTTAATCCGAACCAGCAGGCAATTATGGGAACAATTCTTCAGCGAAGGACTCACATGGTTCGCTTGGTAAGTTCAGCTGTTGACATGCATATCGGGCTTTATTTTTATTAACACACCTTTCTCATTTTACGCATTAATGAAGGACAATGATGTAAAGTTCCTCCTTGCAGAAGGATTGGTAGTAATAGAAGACCGTCTAGCAGCTATCAATGAAGTGAGAATTGAGTGCAGCGCGCCCATTATTCGTTCTATTATGCTTGGAATGATACAAGCACCTGAGGTTAACCTATCCATACCTGTACCAGATAGGAATCATCTTGATCCCCAATGGCTGTTGGAACGTACGGTCGAAGTGAGTATCCGTGATGATATTGGTTATGGGAGCAAAACGCGCACGTTCAATTGACTAACCACTCCGTTTTACACAGCTACTGAGTTTTCAACATATTGATACCAGAGAGACCCAAACTGCCAAGCACTGGCCGTCCGAATACGCATTTCAGGCCGAATTCAGCAGCATCTTTAAGAAAGTGCTTTCCCGTGCTTATCCAGAATTACTCTATCGTGTTCTTCCTGAGGTAAAGGAGCGTGATGAAAACGGTCAGCAGCGCCAGCGCCTTGATCTTTTTCTTCGTAATGGCGACCAACCCGCTTATGGTTTTGAACTTGTTGTTGCCGCAAGCCGAGCTGAGTTCGACGAACATTGTGAGCATTCCAATTATTACAGTAGACTCCATGACTGCGATATGTATATGGTCAATCTCCGCGATAATACCCACTTGACCGGCTACTTTGGGAAGGTATACGACCGTGTGACGCCTGTACATGTAGTTTACAATACTGGGGCTGGATCAGCAAAATTGCTATATCGTAATAACGCTGAAACGACTATAGATATCAAAGGCAGCGAATGGCGGGCAGTATTTGCTTAGTGGCTCCTTATTCTTTTTCTGAATATTCAAAGATATAGCAGAAGTCATGATTTAGAGAAGGTTGAATATTAGCATGTATAACTTTCGTTGCTTTTAATGCGTCGCTCACACCGTCTTTTCAGTCTGCTTTGCCACCCATCTAACCATCTTAATCTGTCTTTATTTATTTTTCCTCTTATTTCATGATTATGCACCATCCATGCACTTCATTCATTGTTAAAAGAAACAGAAGACAAAAAAAAATAAAATTGTATGCATCACGTCTATATCTATTTTCGTATCATCCATCTGATTAACAAAGTATTATATGTATTGGTATTCTTTTTATCATCAATAATGGAGATTTTTATTTCCTCTTTACATTTCTCAATTTCATTTTCAATATCAAATGTCATGAGCTGACCGAATTAGTAATGAATCTGCGTTTGATTCGAAAATGATGGATGTCAATTACACACGGATTGCAAGTTATAAAATTATATATAAAAATACCCGTATATGGAAATTATAATTATAACGGTTCAACTGAATATGAAAAGGCTATGCGCTTCTTGGAGGTAGGTTGCAATTGCGGTTGCTCAAAAAAGATTTCGAGAGAAAAATTTGCCGAGTTGCGTAAGGCGTTTCAAGCTCTTTCTAGATCCGAACAAGACATATTTTTAATGGCCCAACTGAAAGCAATGAATGGTGGAGAAATAACTGCCAGCTGACGTCTTAAAAAAAAAACGCGTACTAATAAGCAAATGGTTTATTATTGAGGCTGCAATACATTTAGTACAAATTTAGAATTCTATGATATAATAATAGGTTACGGTATAAATTTAATAAAATGTTTTATTTTAATTGACGTCGGGATCGCTGAGCTTAGAAAAGAGAATACGAACTTTAATGTTTACACAAAAAAATACGTAACAATGGATGAGCCGATTTGATTAAAATTGAATCCCATATTTATAATGTGTATAATTGGTACGTCTAAAACACTACAATTAATATAACACCTATAACCATATTTTTATAGCACATAACTGGTCATATAATAATAAAATGATTTCTATTCAAGATCTACGCGACTCTAAATGCACTGAGATTGAACAGACCGAATATTGTCAGATGCCGCAAGTTCGAACAAATGAAACTCCCAGCGAGTGGAAAAAACGGATCTATATGTTTTAGAGAAAATAGTCTGTTGCCAAGTCAGAGTAAAAAATATCTTAAAGCTAGGAAATTAATACAATTGCCGAATGGCGGTTCATATATGCAAACTCGTCGTCACTATGAGTGGGAATAACCTTAAATCACGTGATCAAGTGAATATGACCTAACGGATTGGGTATAACTTAGACTAATTGGGTATAACATAATTGGCACCACCACGACACTTCTATAAAATTTACCTAAGCAATATTTCGAAAACGTCAGGAGACACATCTTCAAAGGTTATGGCAGTATTTTGAATCACATCGCGCGTCTCTTTATTCTCGGTCAAGCTATTTTCGATGGATTTGCTTCTTGTACATAATACCACCGTATGAGCGAAAAAAATGGCTCTTTCCAACATGGATTGAAATATCTGTATATCTGCCACTTTCATACAGTTTCTCGTAATCAGATGTAAGATTCGAGGATAAGTCAATAATACAATTCATTTTCTTACGGTTAGTTTTCAAAGAAGACTTTATTACAAGCGTCATCGCATCGGTATATTTGAATTGCGGAAGCGATGCAATGCAGACGCTCAAAACGACAAATGCTGACAACAAAGGGCTAGTTCTATATAGAATCAGTAATGTCTCAATACTTTACGCTGAGAGACGTTTAACCTCTCTTATTTTAATTCAAGTATGTAATATAACATTTATCTTTTCGGTACCCTGCTGATTAACAGACTGTCTGATAACCTATTAAACCGCGAAATAATATGTATATTTGTCTATGTAGTAGCCCATAATTGCTCGTCATCGTTCTGTGATCGATCTGGTCCGTAATTGCTCGTTTCCACCTTTATTTCGGTCAGGTGCGCTAAGCAAAGAAACAATTATAGACTAAGTTAATTTTTTTACCAAAACTTAGTAATCGCTTTCAAGCACAAGTTTTTTCAAAGTATAAATGCTTGTTTTTGCCAGTTTTCGCAGTTTTACAAAAATAAAAATAAAAATCGGACCAGATCATGCAATTCTAGAAATTTGGAACTGTTATAATGACGAGTTTACCTGATACAAATAAAGTTTTTTTTTTGTTACAAAAAACATTTACAATAATGATAAAATATAATACAGAGATGTTATATTAATTTTCTGTTTAATTTATTATGCTAATATTAGATAGAATACACAAGTCTTGAGCCAAGTGTTAATGTAATTTTTAAAATGTATAATTGTACTTCAAAGAGGGTAGTTTGGCAGATAGAGCTATGAACAAATAACCATTCTTGTTTATTATTATGTTTTAAAGATGGATGTTAATGAAGAGTAGTGAAATATTTACACCGCATTGGTAGAGCAAGACATACCAAGTAAAGAACGCAAGGAGCCATCCGCATTGGTCGGCCAAGTGGGGCGATAATTTAAAAGTTTATCGAATATATACCAAATAGTAGAAAAAATTACTAATCTATGTTACGTCATATTCAATCGGATATATACGAGGCGAGATAACAAAAAAAGTTAACAAATATTTTCGCCCCACAATTCAGAAGAAGTGAACAAATTGGTTTAGTTTAATGATAATATTAATATTGAAAAATAAAGTAAGCAGAAGGTTTTAATAAAATCGAGGCATGAGTATAGTATACAATATTACAGATAAACCCTATCATCCTCTATTACTATGATATTCAGCCCGTTGATATTATAATTAGAAAGAGTCGACTATAATAATAAAGTATAAAAAAGTGTGATAAATACTGTAAATAGGTCAAGCTCACACTATGAACATACAATTGTAATATGATTCTTTGATAACCACTTTATATTTAATCATTCAATCTTCTCTCTTATTTTTTTTCTTCACTACTAATACATTTTACAAAAGTATATCTTTATTCAGCTGCTCTTTAATATAACTTGAGTGTCTTTTCAATTAATAATACCTTAAATATATTGTGCATAAAAATTCTCTTTTTAATTCCTGTGATGGATACAAGTTAGTATTAGTGTCAAAATCTTTGTTATAAGAAATAATAATAATAAAAAATTTATAATATTTGACTTATATTGACAATGTGTGTTTTACTATTACTACATTTACATTCTGAAATTATTGCCTTTTGTATCCTTTTCTATTCTAATTCCATTCTTATGAGCGAAATCCTTCACAGTTCAGCTGCCCTTTAACAGTTTTTTGCCCATCTTTTTCTATTCAACACCATAGTAATAATAAAACCATATGCCAAAAAAATTTTGACTCTGGCATAGCTGCTTTTTTATACCAATCAACTGCCTTTTTGTTAACTTTTCTTACATCAGTTCCCTCACCTAACACCAAGACTATTTTGTGCATCAGCATCCTTTTTTACTCCAGCAGTATGCTGATAATGCTAACCAAGATTAAATTGAGTTCTGACATATCCTTGTTCAGCAGCTTTTTGATACCATTTGACTGCCTTTGTTCATCTTTTTCTACTCCAGTATTCTGATAATGCTGACCAAGATTAAATTGAGCTCTGCCATCTCCCTGTTCAGCAGCTTTTTGATACCATTCAACTGCCTTTTGTTTATCTTTTTCTACTCTAGCAGTACGCTGATAATAATAATGCCGACCAAGATTAAATTGAGCTCTGGCATGTCCTTGTTCAGCAGCTTTTTGATACCATTCAACTGCCTTTTGTTTATATTTCTCTACTCCAATTCCATGTTTATAACACAGACCAAGATCATATTGTGCATTAGCATTTCCTTGTTCAGCAGCTCTTTGATACCATTCAACTGCCTTTGGTTTATCCTGTTCCACTCCAGTTCCAAATCTATAACACAGACCAAGATCATATTGTGCATTAGCATTTCCTTGATCAGCTGCTTTTTGATACCATTCAACTGCTTTTGCAGCATCTGTCTCTATTCCAATTCCATGTTTATAGCAATGACCAAGATTGTATTGTGCAGTAATATTTCCTTGTTCAGCTGCTCTTTTGTATAATTCAACTGCCTTTGGTTTATCTTCTTCTACTCCAGTTCCATGACTATAACACACACCAAGATTGTATTGTGCATTAGCATTTCCTTGTTCAGCAGCTTTTTGATACCATTCAACTGCTTTTGCAGCATCTGTCTCTATTCCAATTCCATGTTTATAGCAATAACCAAGATTGTATTGTGCAGTAATATTTCCTTGTTCAGCTGCCCTTTTGTATAATTCAACAGCCTTTTCAATATCTTTTTCTACCCTGATTCCATTTTCATAGCAATCACCAGGATTATATTGCTCTTGTTTACCACTGATGATAACCAAATCAATATTAATATTACACCTTTGCCCTGTTCTAGGTAATAGAATTGTAGTGCTTGGGACATAATCTTTCTTCATTTGGCAATTGAGTATATCACGACGTAATTTTCTTGGTAATAGATCATCAAATAAAAGTGCCTTATCAGGGGACATATTGAAAAATCTAATGTGAGGTATACAATCTGCTATAATGTCTTTCACTGTGTTGATGTCATGGAATGACCAATTATCTAGATCGTTTCCAAGTTCTAGCTCAGACACTTGTTTAATGGCCCATTGGACAACTGACATCCAAATACCATCTTCATCCATACAGAGGTCATCATTTTTGAGAAGGTTGATCAAGGTCTCCTTTGGTAAAGTTGCAAACTTGTTTGACTTAAACACAACATCTGGATGTGAAACCATAAGTCAGTTGCAATAACCCAAGAGTCTATTCAATGGTGCAGTAGAAAGAGCATACTTATGAACTGCAAGAATATTCTGTTGAATCCATTCCTTTTGTTTCTCAAGCAAATAGGTTTCAATTGTCATGAGAAGATCAAATAATTCAA